CACGAGTAAATAGTGAAAACGAGGTCACTCCCGCTCTATTTAGTGAAAAACGACTGGCCAAAATGGAGGCCACAACATCTTGGTCTTCTTATCTTCGATTAAACTAATAGCTTTTTAATGCCAAAGGAAAGCCCACCTATTCCTTGTGAAGTCCAACACCCTGTGTTATGATACGAAAATAATTTATAAATCCTTCCTGATTGATCTGAATTATTTTCCTCGCAACCTAAAGCCTTATCTTTTTAATTTATATCTTTTACCTTTCATTAGATGCCTAAATCTTGCGTTGATTGTAAGTGCTCGGCAGAGGCAATTGAGGTTTTTCAAGATGAAGATGAAACCGATGCTCTCTTGGCTAATATTGATCTCAACTCGGGAACTCTTTCAGAATCTTGTGGTAAGTTGAACAAATCCTTTTCTTTCTACTTCTCTCCTCCTACACTCCTGCTTTTCTTCCAGATTCATCTATTCCCGACCCTTTGTCCCAGCCGGCAAATTTATCTACCTTCGCTCCTGCCTATCCGATTTCACTTTCCAACGATTGTTTCGATGGTCCGATTTTGCCGAGATCTCTAGACAAGCCAAATTTCGGTCCCCCTCTTCCTCCCCCTTTATTTAATTCTCCTGCTGGAAATTCTTCACCTACCGACAAACTGCCTGATACTCCTGATTTCATCCGACATTTCCCCTACGCCCGGCCCTACCCTCAGCAGATAGCTTTGATGTCGGCTATATACAATACCTTGGAGGCAAAACAGTCGGGTCTTTTTGAGAGCCCTACGGGAACCGGGAAGACGGCATGTCTTCTCACAGCTTGCCTGACTTGGCTGCTCGATCACAATAGACGTCAGGCTATTCAATTGGCCCAACTTGAAGCTCAACTACATGAGTTCTCATCCATAAGTAACCCGCTCTCTTCTGCTGCTATCACTCCCAAAACCACCCGTGAAAATGCCCCTACTGATCCCCTTCGTTTTATGGAGGCTTCTGCCATTTACAGCCAGAACAAAAATGTTGCTCACCACACTAAGAACCAGAAAGCCTTAACTAGCACTTCTCAGGACATAGACATTGCTACTAAACCCGGAGGCCTCTATGGCACTTCAGGCGATAAGAAGTGTAGAAAAGATAAAATTATAATAGACAAATTTTATACCTCGGCCCCCTATATTTGTGTTACTGCCCCTAATCTTGTCAACAACGTCTTCACTACATCCACGACTAATTGTAGCACATTAAATGATGGTTATCACACCAACACCAACTCCACACCTTTTATCAGCAAAGATTCAATTACCGAGGGAAAAAATGGTGATAGTTTGTTCGGATCTCGAGATGTCCGCGCATCAACTGACGATGATTGGATTTCAGCTTTTGAAAGCTTACGTCAACGCAAAATGCAACTTAAGCCTTTAATCGAGGCAATGACATTTAGGAAGACTGCACTCGGCGAGGCTACCGCAGTGAAGGTGGCGGGGACTACCGAACTGGAATTGGCGGCAGTAAGACGACTGCTGACCGCGGCTGCTTCTGCCGCGACTACCTCTACCATTACAGAGGCCACTTCTGGCGATCCTTTATCAGGCCGAAATGTACAATTGACCAAACTACATGAGCCAGCCCGAATAGCTGAGTTGGAGGCAGCTTTTAATCAACTCTTTAGTGTGTACGACGAAACAGCCTTACGCATCCTTCCGATAATTCCCACTCCTCGAGCCGATGTAGCCAGACTGGACCAGTCTTGCACCGGCGTAGGAAAGGAGGAAGACTTTCTTCTCGCCGGAAGCAATGAAGGAGATATCTTACCTCGATGTTACGAAGAGGAGTTGGAAAAGGAAAATGCTGCTGCTGAAAGGAGGCTTTTATCATATGCTTTTGGCCTGGACAAAAAAGGAATTATATCTCGCAGTGTGCGAGATGATTCTGCCTTAGGTCGCGAGTCAGACACTCTGCCATGGGTCTCTTCGCAGATCATCTATTGTTCTCGTCTTTCTGGTCTATGGCCCATAAAATTAGCAACATGTCATATCCACTAAGGATACTTTATCCGAATGCATATCTTCCTACACTATCTTTAGATTTTGAATCATCCTTTGCCGT